TCGAAACTCTGCCAAAAAAGCTTTCAAATTGTCCAATATTGGATTTCGTTGTTCAAGAAAAGACGAAAACCACGATAATGCAGAACCAGAAAGTAGAGTGCCAATAAACCTGACTTGTGATCCTGGAGTTGGATAGCTTTGCGGTTGAAGTTCAATTGTCAATTGTACTTGATTGATGAACCCTCGAAACTTTGATCTCGTACCATCGAATTTCTCAGGTAAGACAATTCTTGGTTCTCTAGTGCTTATAGGATGTTGTACAATTGGAGAAGGAACGTGATTTGTTGTAGATGTTGAAGCAGCTCCGATCATCTCTATATCTCCACTTTCTGCTATTCTTGTTCTTTCTTGTGTTGGTGAATTGAATTGATGCATCGCAAGCATTAACTCCCTCATTTGCTCTTGCATTTGTGCCATTGCACTCTTCATTTCAACAAGCTCTGCCATAATGACACTAAGAAGAAAAATTTGTTTGATATTGCTCAAGACAAAAGAAAAGAAATACTTGATAACAAAGAAGATATTAAAAACAATATCAGTTTAGAAGTGGGTAATCCACAAACTTCTAATACGCTTATGTCTTATCAAGAGAAAGGGGTAATCCACTCTTACTCAAGAAAAAACAAAGCTCTGATATTGTAAGTGTATTCTTGTCAATCTGTCAAGGACAAAGACTCGATGAGGGAAAATATACACCAAAAGGCTATCTCGATATAATAAGTCAAAATATAAACAAGTAGGTATATTAAAAGGAAACTGGAATGGCTATTGCCACAAGACAAGAAACTAAAGACTCTTGAACCTGGACTAGAAGCAAAAAAGGAGTTGACAAGAGTGAAGAAGCCTTCACTCTTGTCTCTATATATCCTATCTAACTAGTGGCTACGTGTCGACGTTCTATAGGACCTCCAATATGTGTTGACTTTGTAGGACACATGCCTTGACTTACAAGGCAAGTTTTTCTACGTGTGCGCCACATAGTTAGTTTGATCTTCAAGCTAACAACATGTGTGGCACATGGCCAACTTGTTGACCACGTTTCTAATCCAAAAAGTCAATTAAAGACACCTATGAAGTCAAAGCAGCATCTAGGAAGTTTCTAGGAAGCTTCTATATTAAATATTATAGAATTAACTTACTTTTATCTATTTTTACTTACTTCTATCTATTTCTATATGTAATTATTAGCTTACATGATTATGGCCGTGACACCTGCTCTATGAAAACATCATGGTATTAAATTATAGAAGACCTTGTATGGTCTAAAATAATATGGATGCATGTAATATCAATGTCTTTAAGATTGTTTAATTACAAATAAGTTTATAAGTGATCCATTAATTTCTTATTTGTTCATCCAAAAAGTTAAAACTAGTTTTGTGAACATCGTTATATATGTTGATGATCTTAATCTAGTACATATTAGATCTGTATGTATTATAGCTATCAACCTATTTATCCATGAATTTAAAATAAAAATATTAAAAAAAACAACTTTTGTATTTATCTTCAAATTAAGTATCTCATAGATGGTAGCATTTTCTTCTACCAACTAACATATATTGAACGAATCTTGTGGAGATTCAATATAATTGATGCTTATCCATTGTCAACACCAATGATTGGACATGGTTGTGATGGTGACAATCTATACCATCTATGTGATGAAGAAGAAAAAAATATTAGAAAATCAATATCTATATCTTGCAACAATTGAAACACTTTTAAATTTAGCTACATCTACAAGAATAGATATTATATTTGTAGTTAGTATTCTTACAAGACATAGTGCACGTCTAATACTATGACATTAAAATGACATCAAACATTTATTATATTATTTAAAAGATACTAAAGACTTGGAAATATATTACATACAATCTGTAGATAAAAAATTAATTGGATATTGTAATGCATGATATAAATATACTATTGCAAGAGCTAAATCTCAAACATGTTATGTATTCTTAAGACATGAAGCTGCAATATCATGGAAATCAATGAAACAAATTATAACTACAACTTCATTCAACCATGTAGAAGTTATTGCTTTACATGAAGCATCTCGGAAATGTATTTAGTTGCGATCAATTGATAAATTCATTACAGCAACTTGTGGACTTTCATATAATGATTCTCCAACTATTTTACGTAAAGATAATAGTGCTTGTATTGCTCAGATGCAAGTTGATTTCATTAAAGATGATAGGATAAAGCATATTGATTAAAAATATTTTAGTTATATCCATGACATGGTTATTGATCAAGTATTTAAGATGAAAAAAATTGAATCTACAAATAACCTTGTTGATCTCTTCACCAAAGCTCTCCCTTTGTGCAATCATTATTATCTTATTTATAGCATTGGTATAAGGCAATTTATTTTTTTTGAGCAAGAAAGTTAATGAATTATTTAAATAATTAAAAAAAATGATGTAGTACTCTTTTTCCTTCATATATGGTTTTCTTCCTTGAATATAATAAGGTTTTTCTACATAAGGTTTTAATGAAGCAACAACTATTAATCATGCAAGCTTATAGAAAAGTATAGATCATAATTCTATGCAAATATTATATAAATATTATGACAAACAAGGATGAGTGCGAAGAGCATTAAATGTAGTTGGTGCTCTCCATAACATTTACTATAGTTATAGTAAATACCATAGCTTTAGTGTTTAAAATGTATGGGGAGAAATTGCTTATCTTCTCCCCTTTTCTTTGTATGCAAGTGAGACAACCACATCAATACATAGTTTTGTTTAGAAGCTCTCTGTCTTTTTACATACTCTCTTTTGGATGTGTACACATTACTTCTAGCTACTCTTCTATCTCTCTAAAACATTCTCAACAAATGTAAATCTAAGATGAGGGCCTGAGGGGTGGACAAACAATGTCATTTCCAAGGATGTTCTTCTTCAAAAACCAAGTCAAGGTTATATTCAGTGTCAGAAGCAAATGCCTATATCCTTTTCCCATTGTCTTGCAATGCCAACCTTCACTTAACACAGAACCCAGTTTCTCTCTCAGTGTGAACACACAGCAAATCCATGAGTGGAGGAATATAATTACAATTACAAGTAGGCTTTGTGAAACAGTTTTAGGGCATTCCACCTGGGAACAAGGTGCTAACTTTAGGGCTTGGTATGAATGTATGTTTGTGGATTTGTCAAGTAGTGAAGAAACAGGACAAAAGGGTGGATGAGGGCAGAGGGATGCTGGGCCCTAACTTTAGTAATATAGTCTACTGGGGGGGGGGGGAGTGGATGTGCTCATCTGCCCAAATACCAGGGCCACCCCACTGGGTGCTGTTTGTTTTCTCCCCTTGAGGCCCTCTTTTAGAGTTGTATTTGGAGCAATAGTGGGTGGATGGATGGGGCCTTTCCTCTTTTCCTTCTTCTTTTGTCTGCTTGCTTGTATGAGGGAGTGTATATGTGTTTTCGATGTGTGTGCTAGGTTGTCTTTGGCATTTGGACCTACTGCAAATTTGTATATAGATCCAAAGTTCATGGAATCCATCCATTCCACAGAAGGTGCTGGTCCTTGTTTGCAGTGTGCTGTAGAGAACGTCGATGGTTGGACAAGTGAAATGCCAGTAGATTTCTCAAGGAGTTTATACCACCACAGAGTTCTCATCAACATGCAGTGAAATATCATGATAGAGTTCACATCATATTTCACAAGAATAATATGATGTGAACTCTATGATGGTTTTATATCTAGTGAAATATTAATGATCTCTTTTTCTTTTTCCAGCAGAAGGCAAACTAACAAACTGGATTCAACATGTCCCAAAGTTCCACCACACATGTGGGCAGAGAGTCCTCTTCAATGCTGCTTTCAAGCCATGCACATTGCAAGTTATACACAACACCACAAGTTGAAAGATCAGCCCCTGATGTGGCTCCTTTTTCCATGTATTAGAATGCCTATTGAATAAAGAATTACAACAACAACAACAATGGACTTGGCCAGTGAAACCCATATCTGACCCCTTTCTCACATGTGAAAACATTTATCTTTGAATACCCACTTTGAAACCCCTGGTGTGTTTTTATTTACTATGTACTGTATATGACAGTGCAATTCATTTCACACTGTTGACTAATTCAGGTTTATGTTTTTGTGGCCAAATCAGATAGGTATGACACAAATGTTAATTTAGTTTGTTGCAGTTATTCACATATTCATTGCAATATAAACTTTGAGTTTTCCCTACACCAACAATTGTCAACCCTTAGTTATGTATTGGCAGATAATTGCATTCAGTTCAAAACCCATATCAGACCCAAACTAACATACTTGTCCTTTGGCCTCCAAATAGTTTCTATTTTTAAAAAAACAATTAGGCCATCTAATCAAAACTTAAAGAGAGTAAAGGTAAAGGATAAGGGCATTAGGGTTGCAGAAAGTGAAAGTGGATGAGGAATTCACTAAATTTGAGAAAAGATTAATAAGATAGTTTAGAAGGGTGGACGAGTGCTTATCATGGAACGGAGTATTATTGGAGGAAAGACAATAAAATCATGAGACAGCGGGGGGTTCGTTTTTAGCAAGGGATGGGTGGAAGGAGTTAATCAAGAAGTAAATAAACAAAAACAGCCTCTCAGACCCCGTTCATACCGCACAACGAATTCTCGCGGAGTCAGGGGGTATCCGCGCTGAGTCAGACGATGACATGGCGACAAGGACAGCGAACTCCCCCGCCCAGTAGGGCCCCGCGGGTCGCCATCCAGCCGCATTGGAAACGGCGGGGGATGGCCGCCATCCACCCGCCATGCGACATCCATCCCATTATCATCATCCACCACCATGAGCCATTAATAAATCATCCATCCAAACGTTTGCTATTATTTCTGCGTCGTCTTCCTCCTTTTTCCTGGGTTTTCTCGGATGCTGGCTTTCCGTCCAGTTGCAGCAACTGCAGCCCATAGCCCGCAGCAATAAGCCAAGCTCGGGGAAGCTCCTCGCGGAACAGACAACGAAGCCTGTCGCCGGCGATGGCGCAGACCATTGCCAGATGCCTTTCCGCAAAGCTGATCCCTACCTCCCTTCCCTTAACAAGCTTCGCTTACACATCTTCCCCTTACAACTTTTGACAACTCATTTATTGATTATTTATTTATTTATTTATTTTCTCGGTTTGTTTCCACTACGCGCGCGGTGTCACCACCGAACCATTTCATTCATTCGTTGACTTGCGCACTTCCATTCCCGTTCCATGCCTCCTCCTAGTCCGCCTCGCCTGATCCTCGACCTCTGTTTGTTTGTTTTTATTTTATTTTATATTGGACCAGATAATCGTATCTACTTTACTTATTTTTCCCACTCTCCCGGAAGTTGATCGAGGCTGGTGAGGAATTTCAGGGACTCACCCACCTGCCGCTGTAGCGCTTTCAATCCCGTCGTGTCGTCGCTCAATCAGACTATCGATCTCCAGAGACAGGGAAGGAGCTAGCGTCTAAGAGAGGGAGAGAGGGAGGGAGAGAGAGAGTGAGCGCGCGACGGACGAGCGGGTGTTTTTGTTAATTTGGTGGTCTTTGTATTGCAAGAGAGTGAGAATCTTGGCTTCCGGCAGGCTTCTCTGGTGCAGTGGATGTTGGTAAAGGCAGAGCTGCTTCTCTGCTCTTTGTCATGGGCTTGTCGCTTAGAATACTTTCGGCTTTTCTGTAGACTTTCTGTACGAGACGTGGTTTGGTGCGTGTCAGAAGCGTAGTGAGTGGTTTCGTGTCTCGAGGGTCTTCAAGAAAGCGCGGATACGGACTCAGCGCGCGTGCGAGAGAGAGAGAGAGAGAGAGAGAGAGAGGATTCGCCTAGGCGTTGTGACTCCATTTAGAAGAGCGTCGTTTCGATCTGATCCGTCTCTTCTCAACGGAGCGCTTAGAAGGCTGGTGATCACTGTAGATTACTCCAAAAGCATGCATCCAATGCTCCGTAGGGTTATGTTGGTTGATGGTAATCATTCTCACACTTCCATACTTCATTCGCCGAAGAATAGATCTGTGGAGGCGGTGAATACCGACGTCGCATTGTTCATCACGAGTTGACGAAGAGTGACTCACCAAGTTAATGTTCATGAAGCTGGTCTTGAACTCGGAATATTATGGCGGGTGGCAGTTTTGATTGAGTTATTTACGCAGAGTACCGAGCAGGCTATCTTCTGGACGCGCTAATCCATAATTTTTTTTCAAGTGTGCGTGCGGCGACGTCATAGCTTTCGGAACTGGCGATCTTCGTGATTGGTCCTGCCCAACGCTAGCCTTCTGGTTTACCAAGGTATGTTCTGCACTCCTTCACCCATGTAGAAATGAATTCCTGGATTGGAAACTCATGGACAGTATCCCTAGATTCACGGGTAGGGCCTTTGAACCTCTTGTAGTATGTCGGTAATACAATATCAAGCTTAGCACACAGTTTCTAAAATCACCTCAGTAGCATTCTGCGAGTCTCATGGTAGTGCTGGCGTTCTTGAACTTGAAACGCGGGGGCGGAGCGTTGCATCGCAATAGATAGATCCTGCCCGACCCGTTTTTGAATTTCTGCTGTGATCGAGGGTACATCTCAGACGGGCTGGATGAGCGAGTGCTGCACCAGAAAATTGGTGGTCCATTGAGATCCTAGAATAAAGGCAGTCTATTTGTCCGCTTCCTCCCGGCGCTCCAATTTCTTCGCTGTGTGGTATGTAGTACGTCGGAGCGCGTTAATTGAAAGCTGACCTGGTTGCCCGACTTCAAACTTCTAGACAAGCAGATCACGGTAGGCAATATCTGCAGCGATCCCGGAAGTAAGCGATGACGCTGAGGGAGTTGATGAGCGCCATTGATTGGGTGGCGTTGCGGCTGTTGAAGTTCGCCTTGAACGCTGTACTTGGAAACTCTTAATGATTCTCCTGGAACGCGGAGGCTTGCTAGGCCCGGCAGTTGTGCAGTTGATGTCCTGTTAGGTTCCTTCCTTTTTTCGTTAAAGCTATCCTGTTTAGGACAACTAGACCGTGATCATTAAATGCGGGCCTGCTATTTCCCACCTAACATTCCGTCAAGCCACAGTATACTGTAGAATGATTTTGTACTAACGAACTGACAAACGAATACCGTACGTGTGTGTGTGTGTGTATGTGACGACCTAAAAACGGTTAATTCTGGACTTGTAGCTCAACTGTATATATTAATTCCCACAACTGGTGCTTATTATTACTGTATACATGTCTTAAAGCCACCGTAAGTGTATCTGAATCTGTGAAGGTCTGACAATATTGTGTCTCGCTGCTGTGATAGTATCGCCTGCGTTTGTCTCCGAGGAGCGTTCGTTGAATTGAGGGCTCTCTTCAGGGCGTTTCATGGGATTACTTCTGGATTAGCTGATCAAGGGACTGTTTGACCCAGAAGATGCCAGGAATGATCAAGGGGGAGACCTCTAATTCTATTTCCCACTCCCCGTCGCTCTCAGTCTCCACCACGTCATTCTCCTCGCTCTCGCATGTGTCTGGTCACCAGTCCTCACCGTCAACCGCGAGCACCCCGGCTCAGCTCACATGGCTCCAGGACCTTCGGTCGGAGGAGAGAGGCTTGTATCTCATCCATCTCCTCCTGGCGTGCGCGCATGCAGTCGCCAACAACAACATGGAGTACACGAATGCGTACCTTGAGCAAATCTCGGTGTTGGCTAGCCTGACAGGCGATCCCATGCAGCGCGTGGCTACTTACTTCATGGAGGGGCTGGCAGCTCGGATCACCAAGTCCTGGCCTGGCCTATACAAAGCGCTTCATTCTACTCACCTTCCCTCTGTAATGGACATCATCTCGGCCCGGCAGGTGTTTTTTAGCGTCTGTCCCTACGTCAAGTTTGCCTTCCTGATGGGCAATCAGGCCATTCTGGATGCCATGGAGGGGGAGAAAGTGGTGCACATTGTGGATCTGGAGGCCTCGGATCCCGTGCAATGGCTTGCTCTGCTAGAAGAGCTCAGCGTTCGGAAAGAGGGTCCTCCTCACTTACGCATCACAGGAGTGAGCTTGAAGAAAGATGTGCTCGAACAGACCGGTCAGCGGCTCTCGGAGGAAGCTGAGAAACTGGATATCCCCTTCCAGTTCCATCCGTTGGTTGCAAGCCTTGAGAAGTTGGACGTGGACTCCTTGAAAGTGAAGAGTGGAGAAGCCGTGGCCATCAGCTCTATGATGAGATTGCACCCACTTCTTGCGAAAGAAACCGATGCCGTTCTTAGAACAGAAAACGATAACCATAATCATCCTGTTATTCGCCACCTTAGATCGTCAAGTGGTGGCTACGAAAGGATCACCTATGTGAGCAGAGATGAGGCAATCAACACAGCTGGCGAAGTTGGATCGGACCGAGGACTGAAACGCTCCCGGGAAATGTACGAAGCAGCTCCCGAGGTGGGAGCTGAAACCCTGAAAAATCATGTGGATGCATCCGAAGCTGGAGTTCGGCAACAATTACCACGCAGTATGTCACTATCAGATGGCAATGGCACCAACGTAGAGTCGAGAGGTAAGCCCTCAATGGTGCATCTCCCCAGAGATGAGTCCTCATGCTCAGAGTCAGGGTTCGGCTCTGGCGTCGTGCAAAGAATCTTACAAAAGCTGCAATGCCTGTCACCCAAAGTGATGGTGCTCGTGGAGCAGGATTCCAATCACAACAGCGGATCCATGCCGGAGCGCTTCGTGGAAGCTTTGCATTACTACTCTGCCGTGTTCGACTCGCTAAACTTGACTCTTCCGCAGCATTGTCTGGAGAGGGTGACTTTGGAGAAGTTCCTCCTTGGGCAGGAGATCAAGAATATCGTGGCGTGCGAAGGAGCAGAGAGGGTGGAGCGGCATGAAAAAATAGACAGATGGAGAATGCGGATGCGATCTGCGGGGTTTGTGTCGAGACCTTTGAGCTCCACTGCAGCCCTGCAAGCTAAACGGCTTCTGCATGGTTACCCCTGCGATGGGTACCGTGTCAAGGATGACCAGGGTTGTCTCACCCTCTGCTGGCAAGATACAACTCTTTACACAGCATCCGCATGGACGGTTTGAGATCATCGTAGCCAGGCTAGGTCCGCATCTCCTGAATTCTCATCAATCAATCAATTCACTAGTGTTTTAGCGACACTCAAATCACCCTCGTCTTCACCAGCTGGGATGTGCATGCATTGCTTGCAGCTGTTGATTGATCTCTGTTGGCAGCCTTCAACAAACACAGCAAGTAATGTTCTACTGATCAGGGGTCGGTGAAGAGAGGTATAGCGCTCGATTCGAGTAAATTGATTATTTTTCTGGTGACGTTTACAGGATGATTCAGTGATCTAGTCAAGGATTGACATGTAGGTGGTTATTACGGCTGCCACTTAAATCAGGAAGCAAGTCAGGGCGCTGTTCGCAAGGCCGACTTACCCCACATTTTGCAAACAATCGTACCAGTTGAACTCTGCATAAGAACAAGGTCGGAGGTTAAACGGCGGGGGTTATTCATTCTTGTTGATTGGTTGTGTTGGCCGTCGCCGGTAGTCGTGGTCGATGGTTGAGGTAGGATTTGAGGCTGGCTGGAAAGATGGGAGGAGGTATGTAAGGCAGAGTAAGTGAAAGTCAGGACCTCGGTACACTGTAATTAAGAAAAAACATTCATGAACATTTTGAACTGAATCCGGTCACAGTGATTCACTATTTTTTTTGAACATTCCTCGTCACTAGTGAATGATCTCGCTGTGTTTGTTGTCACTTGTTTTACCCATACACTGACTCTTCAGAGTTTGTGATAGCTTCTCTCTTAATTGCTAGTGTCTTAAAACCTAATACTTGGACTATATTCAGAGACCACAAGTTTTGAACATCACGAACTAGGATCAGTTTATGCTGTGAAACAATGTTAAGTTTCAAGAAACTAGATGATGGTGCAATAACGGCAAAGGTCGGTAGTTTTGTCGATGAAGTAAAAATTTAACAAAAGCCTGTGTAACTACCTGTGTAACCTCATTCCCGACCGAGTGAAGGTATGACACTATTGGAGTTGTATATCACAGCGAGTATATTTCGTCAAAAAAAACCCACATAACCTGAAGAATAGACTTGAGATATTCCAAACACTTGAGATTTGTAAGCATCGTATCAGCGATACTAAGGCATGTCAGTCTACCTGTGAGTCAAATTGTAAAATATAATGATTTACTATTCTCAATAATTAACATTAACAAAAAACACAGATGATACCTATAGTCATTGTAATTATATATATATATATATATATATATATATTACGTTTATAATGTACTAAGTTTGGTACTTTTGCAGTTTTCATTTTGATCTAGTAAAAAAATTGTACATTAAAAAAAATATATTTCATATTAAAATAAAAAATCTTCATTCACATTAATTTGTAAGTTTTTTTTGTAAGATTTTGAATTAGATGTGTTCAAATAAATATTTAAGTTCAAGTCATCTTAATATACATATATATATATATATATATATATTTATGTATGTGTATAGACATTTCTATACTTTAGGTATTTATCTTTTATATAATTTTTTATAAAGATAAATGTTTTGGAAATAGAACAAGCCATGTAGTTGGTCTATATATCACATGCACTTTGAATAAAATAACATTTAAAATAGAATTTGGAAAAGAAATATATATATATATATATATATATATATATATATAACTTTGCATGAAAAAAGAAAAAATCATTTTGTGCACTTGATGCAAACTTTGCATGCATTAATAAAGAAGAAGTTTTGCATTTGTGAAGATAGAGTTGTGTAAATATATATGGATTTTTTCTAGCAAATGTAGGTTGGTTTGCTTGAAGGTATTTTGAGCTTTGAGAAGAAACAAATGTATTACCAAACATCATTCTATATCCTATTTCAATCACATTTTTTGTATTATTGAAAAAAGTTTACGATTAATAAACAATAATCATCACATTCCAAAGATCAAAAAATATTTTTGAAGGTAAATCAAATACTTCAAGGGGCTATTCTTTTAGCTTTAATTTCTTTTAATTCTTTTTAAATACTTTTTTTTAATCTTTAATTCACTATTTGCATCATTTATTTATGACTTGTACACATTCTTGAAAAATTAGAAGTATGTCCAACATGGTAAGAAAAAAGATGAAAATGTGAGAATAATTCAAAGTTTAAGTTAAACAAAAAATATGGAAAGAACCTACAAAATAAATAGTAGCAAGCCAAATAGTGTTGGTTTAAAAAAGAAGCAAGGACAATGATGAATATTATGAGGCAAAGAAAGAAAACAACAAGCAAAATGACATAAATCAATTAACTACAAGAAATTATTTTGTTGTTGTTAAAAAAAGTTTATTTATTGGTTAATTATAATCATTGGACTAAATAAATAAATAAATAAATAAATAAATTACTATTATATGTTTTATTAATATTTTCTTATGCAACTATTTGTATTGTTGATGTAGACATTCAAATTCTTAATGTTTGATAAAGTTCATTTTTTTTGTTTTTTATAATTGTTGTTGAAATTTGTATACATATATAGGATATCATCTAGATTATATGAGTCTATAGGTTTATACAAATACTACACTATTTGTGTAATTTTAATGAAAATAGGTGATATATACGACCTACTTAGTGTTGATGAGGAAAAAAAATATAACAAAACACAAATATTTGCTAGCGTATAAGAACACAATAATCAGTATGAAGTATATAAATCAAACATTATAAGCTCATTTTCTTTCCTATTGTTAAGTTTCAATCGATTAAAATCTTTGAATAGTAATTACTAGTTCAAAAGGTGAAAGACTTCTTATCTTTTTATACATTTGCTTAACATGTTAATTGATGAATGTATTTAAAAAACAAAAGTTATAGAGTTCATAATTTGGTTTATTGTTTTGGTATCATTAATCTCTCTACTATGTTATCAATTCAACTTGGAACTTTGTGCACATGACATTAACCATTAAGTATATCTTTATCTTTTATAATAAAAAATATCAATATATTTTTTATATAATATTATGTTTATATTTTATATTTTATTATATTTATAAATTATAAATAATAATAATCTATTATATAGTGTTTGATATAGTTTATATTTAAATTTTATAATTAGTCTTCTATATATTTTTAACATATTATTTATTTTTTTGCATACTATTTCATGCAAAAATAAATAAAAGAATATTTAACTACAAAAGAATTAATTATTTTTTGCATAAGAGAACTAAACTAAAATATTTTTTGCTCAATAAAGAACCAAAAAAAGATAAGAATTTTATGCAAACTATTTTTTAAAATTAAATTTAAATCTATTCTCAAAGCTTTAATTTTACATTTAAGTATTTTAAAATAAAATATAATAATTTAAAGAAATGATAAATATTTATATATATATATATAGAAAATCCAAATAGTTTGATATAAAATTTACAAAATTAATTAGATTTTTACTAAATTTATCCATCCATCCTCACCATATTTAAAAAAATGATCTCTAAATTAATTTCTCCACTACTAGATCCAAAACCAATAGAAACCAACCACATTCATCATGATTACCATATTCTTCATTATAAGTAGATTAATTTAGTAAAAACATGGGTCTATTTAACATTCACACATGTATATGTATATATATATATATATAATTTCAATTGATATAGTTTTGCTGATTTTATTATGAATTAACATAGTTTTATTACCATAACTTTTGCAATGAAAATATCCAAGAATTAATGGATCTTAATATCAAAACCTTACATTTATACACTCATATGTAAATAACTAAATAAATAAATAAATAAATAAAGAAGACTGTAAATTGAATTTTATTAAAATGATTTGGAAAACATCCTCTTCAAGAAGAGTGATTATATGATTTTGATATCAATTGTTTGATGAAGATTTTCCATAGTTTGATAAAAAAAAAAAATTAAGCAGTCTACCTTGTCACATATATATTTTTTGTTTGTTATTTTCATTTATATACATATACATATATAATCATTAATTTTGTTAAATTAATTTTAAACTGAAATTATTGCCATATGTTATTATTTTACTTCAATATTTTAAACCATGGTGTTAAAAACAAATACTCAAATGAGTTATTTTTTACATTATTCCACATTTTGGTACTTTTTTATTATTATTATTTCATAAAACCCACAAGATAACACAACTAGAATTAAAGCAATTTTTATCAATAATATAGTGAGTAAGTTCCAAAATATGTGACGTACCCCACAACTTACATACTATATATCAACAACTGGAGGGCTCCCTCATGAACACTTGTTCCCATCGATCCTTTTGGCGGGAAAAAAGACAAAAAAATGGCGCGAGTAAACCTATGACAGCGTGGAGCTTGAATCCTCGTCAATTTGCCATGAAGGTAAACCCCCCGCAGTGGTGTAACATTATTTTACCTAGCGCGGCAAACGGGACACATCCTCTGGTAACCGCGACACCGACGCGCGTGAGGCGGAGCAACGATTGCCGAGCCCTATCACCGTCTCCGTGAGGAAGCCAATGCAGAGCAGAAGGAAACCCTAGAGTGAGTGGAGGAGTGAATGTGTGGGATCAGTTGCAGCGCATGAGCAGAGGAGAATCGGAAGTGGAAAGTAGGGCAGGGCAGTTGCAATCTGCAGCAGCAGCAGCAGTTATGGCGAACGACTTGGTGCTGGACACACAGATCCGCGACTGGGTGCTTGCGCCCTTGTCGATCGTGATGGTGCTCATCGGCGTGCTGCGCCATTTCGTCACGAAAATGATGCGCACCACGCCTAACCCCGATCTAAAGGCCGTCAAGGAGGGCCAGATCGTGCTGCGAGCTCGGTTCCTGAGAGCAAGCGCGAACTACCTCCCCGCGAGGTCGTTCCAGATGCGCAAAGCGTACTACAACAACGAGGAGAATGGTTTGTTGCACGTGCCCAAGGGGCAGGGTAACGACATGCAAGCGCAGATGTTCTCGGACCCTAACATGGCCATGGACATGATGAAGAAGAACCTATCGATGATCATCCCGCAGTCGCTCACGTTCGCGTGGGTGAACTTCTTCTTTTCCGGGTTTGTGGCGGCCAAAATCCCGTTCCCGCTCACGCAGCGGTTCCGGTCCATGCTGCAGAATGGGATTGATCTGAGCTCCGTGGATGTTAGCTACGTGAGTAGTAGGTCGTGGTACTTCTTGAACCTGTTTGGGCTGCGTGGTCTGTTCAATTTGATCCTCGGGGAGGAGAATGCGGTGGACGATGCGCAGAGGATGATGCAGACGCAGATGGCGATGCAGATGGGCGGATTTGGGGCGGACCCTGCGAAGACACTCGGTGCGGAGAAGGATGGATTGGACTTGGTGCAGCATGAGTGGGTGGCCGTCAGGAGCGAGCAACTCGCGGAATCTGTGCTGAGGCGCTTGTTGAAGACCTAGACCTAATTTCACATTTTTTTTTTTTTTGGGTTCTTCTAATTTTTTTCTTTAGCACAAAGAATTTAGGGTTTGTCTGTAATCATATGAAACATTGAATAGAGATATTACATTTTAGCGACGAGCATTCATATCTGACACTGTAAATAAGCCTTGTGGATTAAGAGAAGATATAGAGTTTATCATCATTCTTTGCATTTGCACTTTACAAAGTGTGATCTAGTTCTGATATTTTCCTGCGCAATTGCCTTTTTGTTGAATTTGGCATCTTAGCTGATGTACTTTGGGAACGCCCAAGGTTGACATTGTAGGGGAAATTCTTTGTCTCTGCAAGTGGTTGCAAAGGAGTTTAATGCGTAGTCACACTTCAAAATTAGTGTAGAATCTAGCGCATCGATGTTTTAGAAATTGAGAATTTGGGTGACTTCTACCCCAATTTGAAGACGAAAGGGAGGCGAGGTTCACTAAGAGGTACAATTAATGTCTGCGGTGGAAGTCCCTTTTTAGTATGGCACTTTGTTTTTGTTTTTCAAGAAATGGAAGGGAGTAATTTTTCTTCGGATGGTTGCTTTCTGCGAAGGGGCCATAATAACATTCGTAAGTGTCTAGTCTTAATTCAAATACTGCTTTCCGCTTAAGTGTCCTTGTCGGTAGATATCGTTTATGACTGGGGTTCTTCGGGGATACTACCAACCATCCTTTGGACCTGCACGCGCTTGTGCTGTTACACTCCAACTTGATTCTCAAATGTCTTAAGGAAGATTCATTGTTCAAATGTAATTGGTTGCAGGTATACCCTTTACTAAATCATTGTGTATCCATACTTTCATCTCGAGTTTCCCATTTTCCATGCGGATCCATCCTAAAAGTCTGCTTTGGAAACCTTTGTCCGAGGTTACACATAGTTCCTTCAATTGCTGTGAAGATCCAGTAAGATCACATATCTATGAGCTAGCCAGATAAGGATTATTCTTCGCTAACAATGATCTGTTTCTACACTATCCTCTTCTAGTGCTATTTAGGTTTGAGATTTTGCTTCGACTTCCGCTATAGACATCGCATTGGTCACTGATCATATTCTCTCTGTGGCTCTCTACATTATGTTTCGGTCTTTTTCTTGAGCTGTTTTCTCTTCCTGAAAGTGCTAAATTATGGAATGAAGTTTTTTATGGATAGCAAGGCAGCTTGATGCTTCACAGTAGGGATTATCTCTGCCGGAGGCCAATGCATGCATTTCACACCTGACAGTTTGTGGAAGGACTAGTAATTTTCCTCAACAAGTTCTCCTGAGCAGTTTTCCGCAGTCTTACTCTTCAAGTCGACTTTGACTTCGACGTTGCCACTGAATGGGGGGAGATAACGCAGATCACGCTCATTGAACTTCTGGACTATGTGCACCATTTCTTTTTGGTGAAGCAAACTTATTCCTTTCTGGGCACCCAAGTTCCATAAAAAGAGGGAACGGGATTGGCTTGAGAGTAAATTGTCAATTACCAATGATTTCTCGTGTTCCAGCTTCTCCAGAAGCAACTTGGGAATGGCCTCGACCCCTTCATCCCATTATGAACTGGAACGTTGACCTGTTGCTGCAAGTCACCCTGAATGGAAATGAAGAGTGGCTTTCTTGGAACCATTCAAAAAGGTTCTCTCCACTCGATTCTGGTTATGAATCCACATCAAATTCAAATATTTGCAAAGGGAATTCCGTACAGTAGCATGGTGTGCGTATGTATGTCTGCCCGTCACTTGAATTATCTCTTTTACGGAGTGGGGATGAGAAACCCTAGCTCTTGATCCAAGGCTTTTCCGAGACCTAGAATACAAATCCTAAGAACCACAAGGTCCACAAGATTCGTGGCCTTCTAAGGCGAAAACAATCACAGCCCAATGAGAACTGTCCCCGAAACACTCCTCCACTGTTCTTCAACAAATTCCACTCGAACTACAGCTGTTGGATATTCGTCTCGCCGAATATGCAACAGCAGCAGCACATGCATGGTGGCTAACCTCGGAAGTACCGAAAACAGAAGAAGCTTCCTCAAAGCTCAAGTAACAATCCCATATGATGTACCCACTGCAGTATTATATATTGGGTGTTGTGTATTGGTAACTTTAGTATTATATATTGGGTATTGAGTATTGGTACTGTAGTATATTGGGATTTGGTATAACCAGCCGGTCTCCAAAAACAATCCCCTCATAAATGAGCAGCACCATTCGATTGGATTGCAGACAGAGAATGTGGACATTCAACTGTTCAAATTTGAATATTCTCCATGACGTGGCTGTTTCGGAAATAGATTTGTGGATGGATGTCGTCGACGTGGGAGTAGATTCTGTTTGATGAGTGACAGCTGCCAGTTCTGGTCAACGGGTAGAATTTGAATGTATACCCGGATGTTGAACCCTCGATCCGGGTACCAATCGCTACCTTTAGAGAACTTGGTTCACGATCTTTCAAATAAGTTTTCTACACCTAATATTTTGGGATTAAACCCTAAAACCCCAAACCATATACCCAATGAATATTCTTATAACAAGTGGGATGATTGTGTTGCAACTTGAAGGTTATAGTTATTTTTGGTGTTCATAAATGATTCCTCCCACTGTATAGTTGAAAGTACACACAAGTAGTTGATGTGCCATGTTTGATTTTTGGATGTATTTTGAGTATTTAAAAAACGCACAATTACTTGATAAGCTCATATTAAATTATAAATGCATACATATGTATTGCCACAATGTATCTTACTCCAATTTGCATACCTTTATAAAGTACCAAAATCAATTAATATATTTTTTAAACTAATTATTTTGGTAACATTTCTGTTCTGTTACACCATCTGGGCATACTCTTGCTATCTCTGTCACACACACACATGCACATATCATCTTTGTACTAATTCACTACATGATATTAATGAGGATATCCTACTTCAAGATAACAACGACTACCCTAATGACGTTCTTGAATAATATATATTTTTGATACCAAATCAATGATATTAATAATATTATATATCAATATATATATATATATATATATATTTTTTGTTAGGAATTAAGCATGATTTATTTTTGAAATGAGCATAATATTTTTTATGAACAAAGAACAAAAATGCACACACACTGTAACTTGTGCAACTTTCAATATTACTAGCTTGTCTTGGTTAAAAGCACATAGTTCTTAATGGTGAGGAAAAGAATGATTGAAATTGCAGACATAACTACTGTGTCAGAGGAATCATGAATATGAAGCTGAAGATTTATACATATTATTGAAGATTGTGCACATAATCGAACACAGTTTAATAGCTGTGGATAAAGTCTAAATATTCTTTAATCAATATTCAAGTCACATATCAATCATAAAATATTTTCTGGGCATTTCGATCGAGTTAATCATATTATAAAATAAAATAAATCACACAAAACTTTGAATTTAAGAATGTAAAAATATGGGAAACTTGATTGACAGGTAACTGTTTTTTTAAATATTTTTTCATTCTTATTTTTAAAATTGAAATTTGGGTTATTGTCATGGATGTTCATATTTAGTATTTTGTTTTGTTTTTTTGGTTATTTCAGTGACTCAGTGCTTGTTAAATCATTTAACTGATTTGTTACATGCACCTCAACTTACTTAATTTCTCTTAATATTATATCATGTTCAAATGTGTGATTGAGTTATTTGATTGTGTATTTAAATTATTTTAGTTGTTTTCACTCTTAAAGTTTTTTGTGACTTGGTTTTCTTAATTGCTGTATATCTACATACATATACGTATGTAATCAAACAGCATGATATGGCAAATATTTTAAAAAATAACATATTTGACATATTATTCCTCAATGACACAATTTTTTATAAGATAATCACCAATTATTAGATTATTTGTTTAGATGGATATGCATGTACAGTTTTTTGAGTTTTATTTTATCTTTCATGCTTTTGATTATTCGTTGTAATTAACGAGTTTGTATTTTCGTTAGATGATTTTGGAATTTTATATCATACAATAACTTTACAGGAAGTCTCAGTATAAAAAGGTTCAATTAGTATCTTTCTAAAGGTCGGAAGACTAGAAGCTACTGGATAGAGTTCTAATATGAATTTGTCTACTGCTAGATATTTCAGAATCTCCTTCTGTGATAAGAATCTATAAGGTGCACTTCGTATGAAAATTATTCTTGCCTTCCTTCAATTTATATTCTAAGGGTATTAAAAAGTATATAATCCTTTGCATTTAATTTAATTTCTTATCAAACGAAATAGCAGAAATATCATACTTTAACCAATACAAATGTCAAATCCACAATTACTTAAGAATTTAACATTTAAAGAAAAAGCAAACAAGTCAATCTCAATCACCTCAATAAATCCAGGTAAATCCCATTAGTACATTCCATTCTTGTTCGCCAAGTTACTTTACTCAAATAGTGAAAGTCTAATAATAATTTTAAAAAAGAATACCATGTTGAGAATGTGCACAATGGTTTGAATGGAATGATGGTCAAAGCAATTATATATAATTATTATTACATATATTTAATAACTATATAATTATTATTACATATATTTAATAACTATATAAATATTATTATAGGGATCAATGGCTGGAACCAGTACAACAAAAGGGGAATGATCCTCCAAGTCAAGCCTCACTCAATTTCCAAGTCCCCCCCCCCACTGCCCACAATACTCTCCAAGTCCAGCTTCTCAAGTCCCACCCTAAACCATTCTTGTCTGTGTAGCCTTCATTCATCCACCACAAACTCATTCATCCATCACAAACTCATTCATCCACCACAAACTCATTTATCCATAAATCATTTATCCCCAATGTCAACCACCATCCATGTAGGGAATGGGTGACCATGGGGAACATGTGGACACCATCCATGAAGGGAATGGGTGACCATGGGGAACATGTGGACAACAAGTCCAAGCTCAGGCAAATCACACTATATTGTTCTTCTACATGGTCAAGGACATGACATGTGGATATATTATGGAGGGAAGGGGGCATGATGAGGAGGCAGAGGAGGTTGATTCAGTGGCTGAATCCATCAGACAACATCAAATGTCAAGCCCAGTTTCACTGCAGACAGTGGGGTCAGTCTTTTCCTTTTCCCCCAAGTGGGGGCATATGAGCTCAGCATATGAGCCCTATTCACATATCTTCTGCCAAGTCACACCCCCACCCCTACTACACCGATCAAATCGTGACGTGGCACATGATGACGTGGAATCTCCTCAGGTTTTGACCATAGCTTGACTGGACCCCAAAAGATGAGTCTTCCTGGTTCAAGTGTGAAAGCGAACAGCTGGGTGGGGGGGGGGGGAGCTCAATACACAGCAGGTGCAGTCAACTCAGACTCCTTTTCCGAAGTTTGAATGCGGCAGGATCGGTCCTCCCTTGCCCGAGGAAGAAAGTTTCGCCAGGCGTAGACAACCGGGCAGCCATTTTGCCCTTATATAGCTCCGATTTGTTTCTACGGGCATCTGCCCCCCGGGTCAGGAGCCTGGTCTTCCGGCCGTCCCAGGACTGTCTGCAGGAGAGGCGCCATAGCCAGCGCAAGCGAGACAGACACACAGACTCACAGACACCGAGAGAGACAGAGAGAGAGAAGGACGCGATGGACTCTTCGGAAGGGTTGCCGTGGCTTGTTGATCTCGACGATTAGCGGTGCTGCGGGTTGGCTGGTTGAAGATAAAAGGTAGAGGTTGCAGATTTCATGGCTGTGGCGAACCCTAGCTACGATCTGTGCCTCAGAACCAGGAGTCGGGGGAAAGCTCTGCGTCGGGGGGTAATGTAGAGTGTTGGAGTTGAAGGTGTGGTTTACTTACCTTGCGGGGATGTGTTCGATGGTTTTTTTGATTTTATTTTTTTGATTAAGAGGAGTGTGGAGGTGCAGGCTCGGTGGATGTCGGTGGAGTTTGAAGAGGACGGAGTAGACAGGGCGTTGGGGTGGTAAGTGCATTGCTGTTTTGCTATTTGGAAGTGCATCGTGGATAAAATTCACCGTGTGCCGTCATCGTGTAACTCTATTTTAAGCTCCCTTGTTCATCTTGGCCTGCGTTGGTGGATGTGTAATGGCACTGCGTTGGAGAATGCAGGGTTTACCGCAGTACATGTTTCGCAGCGGATTGGTGAGTGGTTGGTGCTGGTAGTCAAACTCGCCAATGGCTTTAGATTTGAGTCTTTTTCTAGAGGCTCTACAGCTAGATGATGATTTGTTCCACACCGGGGGATAGGACGGGGTGGTCAATCTTCCGGAAGTGCAATGTTGGGGCGCGATTGGGGAGGGATGTTGAATGGTGGTTCGGTCGTTCTGCTGGATCTTAGGTCTGTGCTGTCTGAAACTCGATTTACAGTCGCTCATTTCTATCCTCCAACCTAGAATGTCAACTTGTGATTGATCTGGAAGTTTCTTATGTCTGAAGTCGTTACATACTGAAGAAACTGCAAGGCTCTTGTGGGAGTATTGTTCAAGTAGATTACTTGCAGAATTAGTACCCTTAGTGAACCTTGAAATTGGTTGAACCCAGAAGTACTTCCCGACTAGTTACTGGCTTAGCCAACCTCGACGCCATCGTTACTTGCGGTTTCTGTGATCCACATCAAAGGTGGATTCTCGCTCGTATAGTTCAAAGAACAGCGTTTATCATTGCAGGCTTAGAGTCTTGCTTTCTGCCAGGGTGACCAACTTCTTACTATTTCTACTTCTTCTCGGGATTTAAGTGGCATTTAGACTTCGCTTATGTGGACATCACAAAATCAACGTGCAAATAGGATGCAATCGTAATGATTTTAAGCAGAAGTTCATAGTATATGTCTTTCACGATCGATGTCCATTGGGCAGCGAGTTTTCCCTAGAGGTTATTCGGAGATATTGGATCATTGCATCTTTAGTTTATGGAGAGAGTCGATAATCTATAGCGAGTAGAATCCAAGCTATACGCTTCATTTCGAGATATTAAGCTAAACATGGTTGAACTTTAACCAGAGTACTGACGCAATCCTTCGAGAAGTTTGGGTACTGCTCTGAGTTGGAAGAGTTTTTAGAAGTGGGGACAGGTCTCATACGCGGGGAGTTAGAGAGGATGGGAAGCGTGACCGTAACGCTGCTTTCTAACTTTTTTTGGATGCAAAGAAATCATCATTCTAAAAGTTGAATTGAGAGTGTTATAGGATCTGTGGGCTTTGGCAGGTCTTCTCATATATTGTTGGACGACTTCTGACCATTAGCGTGTACCCTGATTTGTTGGCAGTTTGACATCACAGTGCCTTGGGGCGACGTCAAAAGAAAGCTTCTCTTCACGTCTGCATCACTCTTCCTGGTTTTCCATATTCTTCTCTGATGGAACGAGCTGTCGAGCTGCCACATTATTTTTAACAACTCTTATCATCGTAACAGGTATGCTCTGATAGGACCTCTTTTTAATATATCTCATAGTGGTAGTATGAAAACTCAATGGCGATACATGGTACTGCTTCAATTGGTTGCCAAAGGTGACAGCTGTATGTCATGTCGGTCAGGACTTTATTTATTTATTTGTATTCATATTCTCTTGTTCATGTTGCAGAATTTTTTTTACCGTCAGCAATTCCTGAAAGAGCCTTGTGGAGGTAAATTTGTCTCTACCTGATTATCAGTCTTGGTTGTATTATCGTTTCAGTTCTCGTGAGTAGACTTTTTCATAGAAGTGCAATAGCGTAGTGGGTGTCGTTCTCTACGTAATTTCTCGACGATTGATCAAAAGAAAGACGATGCTAGGAGGATGTGAGGATCAGCAGGTTCTGGAAAGTTTGTTTTTTTAATTTTTTTTTCTTGATTTGCAGCGGGAGAGAGAGAGGGGGTTTAAGAAGATGCGCTGGTGGTGAAGGAATAGAGAGAAAATGAAGTCGTTCAAGAAGCTGCGGGACTTAGCGCGGCAGGGAGGCAAAGCTAAAGACAAGCACAATTATGGAAACGATAATAACCGTCGATATGAGGCGCATGGAGTGGGCTACGTGGAGCCGACTGAGGATGCGGAACTCGTTACCAATGGAATGAAGGTTGTTCTTCGAAAGACAATGTGACTTTTAAGCTTCAGTTGTGTTTTCTTGAAAATGAGGCCCAGTTGGTTGGTTGGATGGGAGGCCCTTTGCTGAGGATCTAGAGAGAGGGGAACGAATTGCTCGTCGGATAGTTGGATGATCCTGTGTGGCTTAGGTAGACATTGGATCATCTGTCAACAGCTATGCAATGTGCCTTTTTTCTTGCATTTACTGCAATCTCCCTGTTTATTATATGTCTATGCCACAAGAATCTTTTTTATGATCAAAGATGTGGATTATTTCGCAGGATATTAGAAGCATACAGAAGAAATATGAGTCGCTTGTCAGCTTGTCAACCGAAGTTTCCCATCGAGCTTACGGTATAGATTCTCTCATTTTCCCCTCATGTTATTATTATAATATTTCCAGGGAAAAATTAGAGCACTCTCCTGGCTGTTGAACTGTTTCGTTGTGTCTTGCTAATTGATTTTTATGTTTCCATAATTCTCCTATTTTTGGTCCAAGAGACGGGTTACTGATTGTGTTTGCCCTTTTATTACATTCAAGGCATCGAGATTGTCGTGATTTGTATCCTGACCGAAGGTGCTTATGTTCCTGCCCAGACTTATCCACAGCTGTATCAGATATGGCCTCATACTTTGTGGCTCCTGGTGTCTTGGACGATCAAGATATTGGTAAGTCACTATAGAGGTGTTATGTGAGGCCTCAAAATTGGGTTTGTCCTTTCATGTATGAGCGCATCTGTCAGGTCCAGTTACATTAGATTGTCTATTGAATGGACATAGAGAAGTCAGGCTGGCATTGTGCCTGCATATTCATTCCGTAAAAATATACTTTCGCTAGTATAACTGAATCGCCTCTAGTTCGTATTACGTCAATGTCGCTATTGTCGATGGCTCAAGATACCGAGTTCCTAATGGTACCGGAAGCCGTTGATATGTTTGTAGGGAAAATATTTAAACTTGTGGGAGAAGTGCAGTTCGTAATTTCGCAGTCTTTGGAACTTTATGTGAGTAGAACCTCTCTCTAACTTGTCTTGATGCCTTCAGCTTCGCATTAGATGTTGCCTATATTGAAGGGTTCTATTCAATTGCGTTTTTCCCTTGATCTCGGTCATACCTGAGGAGATTGTGAGTTAGTTGTGATGATGAATTTCATTGTTGGGATTCAGTGTGTGTATTGTACATTTTCTTTGGTAATTGCCACGACAAATATTGGTTTGCTATAGTTGATTTAGTTTTTAAGGTCTGTATTTGTATTTCAGGCATCTCATGTCACCCAAACAGTCACCACCCCGACAGAAAATCTTATTGGTGATTTACGAGATGTCATGGTCAGTTTTAAATTCCTCCCCGCATCCTTGAGGTTTATGAATTTTAGTTCGAAGCTTTTCGTTTGCTGATCCTAGCCTTAATTTTTTTAATGCGAAGATTGTAGATTTGAATCGTGAGACCCTCGATTCAATTAGTGTTTTAATGAAATTCAGCGGACCCCTTTGACAGGAATTGCCTATGTGTCTGCATTTGTTATGATTGTGATGTGCTTTCACATCTATATCAGACAGAAACATTAGAAGATTAAACAACTCAAATTGGGCCTTGTCTTTTCTAACTTAGTATTTACTACTCTGGATAACTTCTGCAGGAAACCAAAAAGCAGTACGATGAGAGAAGGTAAGATGTCTTTTAAACTGCTTTTCATGTCATTTTCTGGTATCGATCAATGTTTTTACTCAAGTCTAGCGTTTCTCAGCCTCCCTTTTGTCTCTAAGTCATTAGGAATAAAGTTCTGTAATTGTTTTGGGTTGGACACTGACTGGGGCTATTACTAGGAATTATTCTCGAAATTGTGGTTTATCTGCATCTTAGTTAAGGTAATTATTGAGTTCAAATCGTGACACAAGACTCCTGTCTAAATTTGTGCTGGGTAGCCTTTGCTTAACAGACAGTCCTTATATCATCATCGGCTACGCATAGCAAAAGGAAGATCTAAAATTGGAAAGACCGATGCTCAGGAGGAAGAGCAGCTAGAAAATGTTAGAGAACAATTTGAAGAAGTCAGCCAGTTTTTAGGAGATCGGCTACTCTCGTTACGCCAAGGTCGGCCTCGAAGCCTTATAACTCAAACTGCCCGCCATCATGCTGCCCAGGTAATTCTTTGACGTGGCTTATGTTCTTCATTTCTTTATTACATGTTGACTATACTTATGGATTCCGCGAGTTGAATATCCATTTAGGCTTTGTTAAGATGGACTAGCTTTCTTTATTATCGATATCAGCCCAGCAATCGGTTTTTGTCATTATTTGGGGCCTATCTAGCAGATAATGTTATGAGAAATATTGCATCAGTGGGTACAGTTTAGGAATTTGGTTGTATCGCATGTATACGATTGGTCTGAATAGGTTCATTTGTGCAAATGTTCCTAGATTTGGGGTACGTTGGCATGATGGTGACGGAATACTGGTGTATATTGTAAATCGTTCATTCTTGTTGGTTGTGCAGATGCAATTGTTCAGCAAAGTACTTACATCACTTCATGGCATTGAGCCTCATATGAAGCAAGTCACTAAAGAGTTGAACATTGACCGACATCTAAGTTCCGCTGACGGAGATGTATTTAATGATGAGATTGAGGATGATGAAGACGTGTCAGACATTGAGCATCATCTCGATGATGCTGGGTCCTATTTTGACGACGCCGACGAAGAGAAGGAACATCACCATGTAAGAGAAGATGATTTGGGGTCGGAAAGCTCTGAAATTGTGAGTTTGCATCTCAGTTAAATCCTAACTCTTCGATGTCTCGATCTACCCATTTGTTGGAGGTTCAACAGCTTCTATACTGCAGTTGATAGGAATGCTGTTGTTTCTTACTCAGAATACCCCTATTGTGCTCAGGTTTGGAGGGTTATCTGATCTTGCAGGAAGCTAATTCACGATTGAACATGTCCCGGGAATGGAGCTCTCACATGGCATCAGGAAGTGATAGGCCTGGAAATTCGGAGAACGAGGGGGATTCCCCGTTGCCTCGATGGATAATCAAAGGGAGTAAGTCAGCACCCTCATCACCACTTACTGCCTCTCAAGGTGTGGATGATGTTGACAGGGCTCCTCCCACATATGTCTCTGCTGTTCTACCCCCCACCAGATCGCCACCACATGTTTCTGATAGAGGTCACTCGGGGGTGTTGTATAGTGACACGCGTCCTTATGAACACAAACCCTCAACCTCTGAACAGACTTCTCCTCGTCATCACAACGGTACACCCGGGCAAACGCCACGGTTTCAGGGGCGAGCAACAAAGATGGGTGTTCCAATGTCGATGTTTCCGCCATTCGATCCTTCACAGACCACTTGGCCTATGCCTTTACCTCCACCTAGTGACCCGCCTCCCATATTGAAATTCCCAGCTCCAACTGCCGGAGGCTTTATTGCGGCAAATTCTGGTGCTCCTGGTAATAAGCACAAGAGATACAGTTATTCAGGTCCTCTTACTTCTTCCTCAAAACCGAGGGATAGAGCATATTCTTCAGATGTTCCAAGTAGTGGGCCACTGCGGCCATTTCCTTCTTCAACAACTTGGTCTGATCAGTCTAGGTCACCTAAACTTTCTCCATCCATTTCCCCTTCTAAAGTATCTCCACCTCAAATTAGTGAGTTACACAAACTCCCTCCACCTCCCCTTGGTTCTAGCTCGTCCCCTATAGCAGCATCGTCAAGTTTGATCGCGCACTCAGCGCCTTTGCATAGACATGCTGATAGGCATGCCTCTCCCCTTCCTCCTCCTCCTCTTGGTAATGCATCTCAGAACCTTTCCGTCGGAGGAGCCGGTAAGTTGCAAAATATACAGCGATACAAGGGGTTGGCAATCTCTGAGGATGAAGAGAGAGCTATTCCATCTGTACAGCCCGTACGAACTTCGCACAGTGGGCATAGTGGACTGCTAACTACCCCTAGCAATCCGCAGATTGGTCACAAGGTAATACTTCGGTCTGACTTTCGCAAAACTGAATTTTGTTCTTCCTTCACAAGAATGCTACATTGTATACCTACCTACATGGTAAAGATTCTGTCTTGTAGCAAGTTGGTTGTAATGCTTCTCTTAGTGTGGTAACTCGTATACACAGCATTTTCAAGTTGCTAGATGTTTGACACAACAAGAATGTCACAGAGTCCCTCGCTACAAAGGAGTGTATCCGGCTGTGGGGTCTCCGCGGCTCCTAGACATGCTACACTCCACTTGACAGCTCCTGGTAGAGTGCAATCTGGATCAGGTGACAAAAAGATGTGGAGACTCAACACTACGATTCACTCTTCTCCAAGTTTGTCTTTAAAATATTCCGTGGAGTCACCTCCATGTAAGTCCCTTCCACTTTTGTAGAAGCGGACGTGTTGTAGCCTGTTGATTAATTCCAAGATGTAGTGACAGAAAACGCAGAATAAAATATGTTCTAGCGTCTTCTCATGGTACCCAGTGGCTTTCTTCTTTAGGCGTTGGTTAATTTCAATGCTGTGGTTGCTGGCTTCAAGAACAGGAGCCAGTCTCCTTTTTGTTGCTGTAGATATTTCCACAGCCTAGTACTAGAAAGTTTTCATCGTCCTACAGAGTTGCTCACTGTGAAATTATTCACCTGATTACCTGCGGTGTTCAGCTATCGATTCTTTTGAAGGAAAGGAAAGACCTCGGTTCGCCTCCAGCGACTTTGAAACAGCTCGTCGATCTTTGGACATGGCATTAACAAGCGGCACCAGCAACAACACTAAACAGTCGAAGTGGTCGAAATGGAGATCCTTTTCAGCCCATGATGGAGAGGACTTGTCGATGATGTCCCAGTTGGGAACCAAACATCATCATCGAGATAGCTTGCAAGCGCATGGTTACCACGCTAGCCCCAGGCTTGGTACCACAACCTATGGCGTTCGACATGTTTGATATGCCAGCGGTAACGGGGTTAGTATTGTTACAATAATTCTCCGTATATAACAAAAGCTCTCATAGCCCGATGTATATTTAGGACTACTCTTAGGCTCTATTTGCTGAATTAAATTCATGATCCCCTTCTCTCCCCATTGTACCAATCATGAAGTAGAAGCTTGAAATTGTCCGGCATCTTTCTACCCTGCCTTCTCTTTACACTTGTTATTTCTTATGAATCTGTTTCCTATTTTTACCAACCCTTTACTTTAGTGTTATGGAATTCTTGATTGATTCTAAGATGCATGTCAATAAACTTGTAAAAATTTCCGTTTGAATGTGTATACACATGGTTTCAAAAGAATCACTTGTCCAATAAATTTAATTAGTAAAAAAATCGAATTCAATTGCGAGATAGAAACTTGTTTGAATTTCAAATCAAACCTAAAAAACCACATCACGTCTAGAAGTAAAATAATTATAAATATTAAATTTTAAAGGACGTAATTTGCTACAAATTGATAGAACATAGTTGGTTATAAAATAGGGCACAAATTGCAAAAATAATAGAAAATTACACAGTTCAGTAATTGATTTTTCGAGTAATTGTGTTAAATCTTCATCTAGGTTAATATTGCTTGAGTTTTAGTCACAAAACTAAACTAGAAATAAACATATAAAAATTAATAGAAGCAATAGACTTTATTCATTTTCTTAATATTGTTGGTTAATAATCTCTATACTCAAATTATGTTAGAAGGATATAACACTTCATAACTTATTCAAAAAGAAAAAAGAAAAAAAATATATATATATATATATATATAGATATGAATACATATCTATTTTTTAAAAATTAAAAAATAACAAAAATTTTGTCTATTCAAACTTAGAGTAATATAGATTTACTTATAATAAAAAAATTATAAAAGATTTTATAAGACACATTAAATGGTCTTTAAAACTAAATTTGTGTATTTAGAGTTTTGTTTAATGTTCAAGTATTTAGAAGATGGAAGAGAAATAACAAGAAAAAGAATAGAATATAGATAAAAGTAGGAAGGAGGAAAAGAACAAAGTTTTATCAAATTACATATAAAATGTAAGGAAATTTTGTTTATTTGCTTGTTTGGTTTTTTGCTGCTTGTCTACTTTTGTAATGTTGCAATGCTTTACAAAAATATTAATGTGCAACATCACTTTAAAACACTTTACAAATCTTACAATAGCCTTGACTTTGCAATAAAACTATTTTACAATCTTGCTATTAATCATGATCATGACAAGCAAATCTTATATTGTCATGCAATCATACTTTGTTAAACTACAAAAAAAACTTATGTTTAAATTTTGTCTTGTATCACAAAAAATCAGAAAAATATAAACAAATAGTATTATAAATTTTAATCTAATATTTTGTAAGTATTCTAAGATATTTTAGAACACTACTTAAAATTTTAGATTCTTTAGAAGTGCTTTTAAAATTATGAATTATTTAAGTATATAATAAAAAATATATTATTTTGAAAAAAATATATTAATAGTATATTTTATATCATCAAAAACTATACAAACAACTTGAAAACTCTAGAATTTTGGCACAATGATAGCCATCCACAACATCCATGCAATTCCATACTAATGCAATGGATGCTTGTATCAATATTTCATTTGTCTCATGGATGATGACAATTGATCAATCTCATTGTCAACTTGAGCATGATTAGATCTAAGCAAAGAGAGCTTCACTTGGCCTCGACTATAATTACTTGCCTTGTCTAATAATCACTAAAAGGTCTATGTCTTCTTATATGCATGCCCACATCTTGTGACATTGCTTTTATTGGTGGAAGTAGTGGTGTCACTAGTATAGTCAACAAAGATTGCTATGCCTTGCTTGCTTCCTTTAAAAAATAGACAATTGTGTGAACTCTTTGGACTAAAGAGTGGTGTGATGGAGGTGTAGCAGATTGGATAGATTGTAATATGAGTGCAAATACATGAGAATAGTAAAACTAATTGGCTACTTTTTGAAGTGTTTTTTTTGTTCTTAGAAGTAAAAAAGTGACTAGATTGTTGTATTGATTGAAGGTTGAAAGTGTATTGTATTAAAAGAGTATTAATTTAGTTTATGCATAGAAATTAATTAAAAATAGAGTGAAACTAAGTATATTTATAAAATAGATTTTTTAAAAGTATATTGTGGAAAATTTTAGGAACCTAGACTTTTCGTTTAGATCTACTTTTTCATTATGTTCAAAGTTTCTAGTTTACTAAAAAGAACAATAGGTTGATTGCAAAATTTAGATACTTAAAAATCAAGTAAGAATTATATTTTTAATAAAGGTCCTTCTTGTACTAAAGTTTATAATTACATTAGAGATTGAATTCTATTTATTGAAAGTCTAAGATTTAGAACTTCTTTTCATTTATTTACAATAATGTCATTTGTGATGTCCCCGCTTAGCCATTTGTTTAACGTAACTATAACTTAAACATGGATGAAATAAGCATTCAATTTGAGTTTTCTATGAGACTTAGGTTTCTGGCTATAGCACACAAAGATGGATGTCTTCTATAAGGATAGTTAAGATTACCATTAGAATTTTAATAGCTCCAACAAACATTACATGTTCTATTAGTTTTGACTAATGATACAAACCAGTTTTGTATGTATTTAATTGTGTGCAAGAAATAAATTTCATGATTTTGATATTATCTTTGTTCTTTTATTTAATAGTCTTTACAACATTGGTGATAACTAATTGGAGTGCGTTGCAGAGTGGGATGAAGACAAAGAGTGTATTGTAAGAATCATACTTCTTATAAATTTATTGAGTAAGAATCATACTTCTTATGAATTTATTGAGTAAGAATTATACTTCAAAATAACCAGTTCTTTATTTATGGGTGATGTTTTTAATAGTAGCAAAAAATAAAAAGAAACCATTTGTTATAATACAATCAAAAACCATTATGAAACATCTTTTTATGAAGTCTAATTAAATAAGATATATTATAAAGTGTTGCACCGAGACTTACAAATGGAAATTGCATGTATCACAATTTCAATTGATAAGTACAAGTGAATTTTTCATTTGCACATTTATCTATAAATACACATCCTTTGGTATCGAAAACTTGGACAATTGATATGCTTGTGCTGATTGGATAGTGGATAATGTGAAAAAAAAGTTGGATGAGACATCACAATATAAAATTATTGTGAATCACCAAATTGACTTATATTTTTTTTTAGAGTAAAAGAATATAACTAAAATGCCAAGTGCAATTATTAGATAAAAGATTAGGTGAAAAAATCTAGTAGTAAGCATTATAAAGTTAGTAGATTAATTACAGTTAGTATAAAAAATCTAATACAAAAAATTTAGTATAAAATTTCAAATAGAAAGCATCTTATGAGGCATCAAATATGTATCTTTTTAGTATCTTAGAAGCATCTAAAAAAAATCTAGAATATTCAAAATTCTAATATAATAAGATAGGTATATGGATTGAAGAATGTCTATATACAACCAAATATAATCTAGATATATTTCAAATATAATAGGTATAAGATACAATGGCAATCAAAATATGATTTATTTTTGTGTAGTGAAACGGCCATTAGGTGAAAGAAGAAGGAAAATATTTTATTATAAAAAAGCCTATTTAAAAATATATAGTAGAAAAACATAGATAAATGATAGGCAAGTAATAAGATCTATTAGTATTAAAACTTCCTTTTATTAAAATAAATTCTATTTATTTTGTAAAGCTATAAATAAGACAAAATAAGGTAGATTAGTAAAATAAAGAATATTGGCATATGTAGAAAGAAGTTAGAAGTTGATTTTAACAAAAGTTATCCCAAAAAGATAAGAATTGATACCCAAAGACGAACGGCTGCCAACCAGGATCAAAATTAGATCTCAAGATACAAAACCAAGTACTTGTAGTAATGCCAGGATTCTTTTAAAAATTAGATAGTAAAATTTGAAAGAAAACTTGAGGAGAGATTTTTGAATATTAGTTTCATATCATTTGGATTAATATTGAGATTTTGAAGGATTTTCAAAGTTAATAATATACTTGGTGGGTTTAGATTTTGAGAAATAAAAATGCATTTAGAAATTTAAGGATTTCTTAAGTTTTGTTGCATATATATGGGTGAAAATTAGGTAATTTGTTTTTGTACTTGTTGTGAATGTGTGTAAGAAATTTGAAGTCAATTAACTAATTAGATTGAAGTAAATGAGGATTTTTGTAAGTTATGGTCTTGAAAATTTGAGATTTAAGGTGAGTAAGTGATTTTAAGATCTAGCAATATCTACCAATTGGATTGAAGAAAAATTAGGTGAAAGAAATTAAGACTTGAATGCCTACATAAAAACTAATTTTTGGAGCAATTGAACAATTTAGTAAAGAAAAATCAGTATTGAAAGATCAACATTCAAGTTGGAGAAGGAGGGCAGCCAATAATTGAGAAGTTTTGGAAGCTTTTTTTGCAATGGATCAATTTGTTTCTTCTCAAAATTTATATACTTGTTAATTGCTTGTTGGTTGAAATTTGGGTGAAATTTTAGTCAAGATCTATAATTCAATTAATATTTATTGAGGTTTCAAGTAAGTATAATAATTGATTAAAATTTACTTGGAATTTGCTTAGAGTTCTTTAAAATTTAGGATTTTCTTATGATTTGATTAGGATTTGATTAAGATTTGATTAGGATTTATTTAGTACTTGATAGAATTTGACTAGAATTTTAGATTTCATCGAGATTTGATCTAGAGTTAGGATTAAAAATTTGATTTGGATTTGGTTTAAAATTAGTATTTATAATTTTTTAAAGATTTAATTAGGATTTCTTTATGATTTATGATTTTATTATGGTTTGGTTGGAATTGATTTAAGATTTTATTAGAATTTGTTGATGATTATATTGTGATTTGATTAGGATTCAATTAAGATTTTTAATTTTCATATTTCTTTAAGATTTTTTTATTACATATATTTAATTAAGATTAATTAATAATTTCTTTATATTTCTTTTATAAGTTTTTGAAGCTTCTTTTGGATTCAATTAAAGTTTGATTAGCATTATTATAAATTAATTAAATTTTATTTAGGATTCTATTAGAATTATTAAATTCATCTTATGGTAAGTTCTATTTTTTCTTCTACAACCATGTGTTTCAAGCAGATTTCACATAATACAAAAAAATTTGGTGAATTTGACATGAAAAGCTTAAAGTAGAA